ATATTCATTCTGCCAGGCATGGTGGAAGTACTTGGCTCCTAGCACTCGGGATGCAGAAGCAGGCATATCTCTGTGACTTCAAGATCAGCCTGGTCTATACAGAGAGTTCCCGGCCAGCCAGGGCTACAGAGTGAAGCCCTGTCACAAAAACCATAAAACCAGCTGGGCCTGGTAGCACATACCTACAATCCCAGCTCTTGGGAGGTGAAGGAAATTGGCCCAACATAGGAACCCTGACCACGGAATGTCTGGTCCCCTAACTATCCAGTTCTATGTTGGAGATTTCCTCTTTTCCCTTGCCTGGGTATTAAGATGGGCCACACAGAAAAACTATAAGAATGGCTGAAATTAATCTCCCCTGCAGCCCCTGTCTCCCCTGCAACAGCTGTCCCCCCAAATCCTCTTGTAGCTGCTGCCCCTATTAAAGACTGCGACCAGCCCCCATGCCCCTTGCACATCCTCCATCCCTCAGGAAGGTTGTTCCCCCTTGATGTACTATAAACACAGTCAAGGTTGCTGAGGTCAGAAGTGGTCTCTTTTTCTCCTACTGTTTCAGTACTCTGCACTCTGAAATCTAACCGGAGGCTGAGGCAGGAGGACTGTGAGTTCCAAGCCAGTCTGGGCTACAATCAGGTACATGTAACCTTTTGACATTGCACAATGTTGTCATCTACACAGTTCATGCTCTGGAACCATGCAATCAAGTTACAAAAAGAATCATTAAAAATCTCATATTTTAAGTAAGCTTAGGATTTTATGTTGAGCCTCTTTCATAGTCATCCTAGTATGCATGTGACTCATGGGCTGTAAGTTGGACATGCTTGGCAGGTACATAGTGAGATAATGTCTCCAAAAAGCAAGATTTAACCAAGGCTGTGGATATACTCAGTATTGGGCTCAGCAGCTGAGTTTGTCAGTGACCAAGATCCTCATGTCTTTGGCTAAGACCAAAACTCATAGGCACAGTGTTCCTGACAACAGGTAGACAGTGCAGATGTGAATGGGAGCACAGGCTAAGGTATCCGGAACCTGGGCACAGATAGCCCACCCACCAGTAAAGGGAGTCCTGGGGATCCATTTACATTGTATTCCTTCTGCCAAGTGCTGCTTGCTGCCAGCATCCTTGCCAAAGGACAAATATCTTCCAGGTTAGCAACCTGTCCAGAGGGCCCCTCCCCGGCCCCGTTCCTGTTCTTCTCCTCAACTCTCTACACTTCCTCACAGAGTCCTCAACAAAAGCCTGTTGTGTAGTGATTTTCCTCTGAGATAAAACTTTGTAGGAAGTGGGTAAACAACAAAATGTTCTAAAGGAAAGCAAAGAAGATGCTGTGAGGGAAGGTGAAATGATCCATCCTTCAGAGAAATTCATTCAGCTTAGTAAGTAAACAGTTCAAGAGCTTCAAGAAGTCCCTGAAATCCACAGGTTCACTAGGTCCCTTCCTCCTCTAGCTTTGTAAGTCCCAGGGACTGCTGAAGGGATCCTCTCAGACAAACAGAGCTGCCTAGAAGACCATCAGACCAGCAGAGATCAGCCAAGCTGCCTGGAAGAAGCACAAACTAGTTAAACTGCCTTGAAGAGGCTCAGATTGTTATGGAAAAATTCTTGAACAGCTAAGAGATCAAACATTCACCCAGCAGAGAGTCTGGAAAACTCATCTATCCCATTGGTATGCATGAGGTCCAAGAAAAGCGACAAGTCTTCAGGATGTTCTGGGCCACAACCAGAAGTACAGATGAGGATTAAATAGGCAATTTTACATCATCATTTTATGGTTATCACCTGGACCCTATGTTTTGTTTCTTGATGAGCCATGTTATCTCAGGAAAAGTGCTTTCTGAGTCCACGTGGTCAACATAGATTACAAAATAGATATCCCAGGCATGGATCAGGACATCTGCCACCTTTTGATCTATAAGTAGGCCAGGCTAATTGGACTAAAATCCTGTCAAAAGGACATTACAGTTTATAAAAATAGATATCAGCAGCAGTTTACCCATGCTAGGGTAGGCTTTTGGTGGTGTAGCTGTATTTGAGTCATTTCTGTGCCTGTAAGTAACTCATCACCTTTATTCCTATAAGTAATCACAACAAAACTCATTGATTTACCAAGTTGAATTTTGGTGGTATTCTTACTTTGGTCTGTTGTTGATTCCCTCTGTGGGATAAATAAATATTTGTTCACATCTCCCCATGAATAGTGTCATATAATAAGGTCTTTTCTAAGCTTCTCAGCCTCTGTTTAAGAACATTATCTTTTGGGGCTGGAGAGATGGCTCAGCAATTAAGAACATTGGTTGTTCTCGCAGAAGACCTGGGCTTGAATCCCAGCACCCACATGGCAGCTAACAGCTGTCTGTAACTCCAGTCTCAGGGGATCCAACAGCCTCTTCTGACTTCCGCAGGCATTGCACGACACGGGTGCACTTACCTACATGCAGGCAACATATGAATACTTATAAAAAAATAAAAATAATTTTTTTTAAAAAAAGAACATTATCTTTTGGGGCCTGTGAGATGGCTTAGCAAGTAAAGGCACTTGCCACAAAGTCTAGGGACCTTTGATCACCAGAATCCACATAAAGGTGGAAGAACAGAACCTACTCCAAAGAGCTTTCCTCTGACCTCCACCCATGCACTGTGGTGTGTGTGCCCCCTTGTACACATACATCACACATGTATGCATCACACACACAATAATAATAATAAATAAAAATTTAAAAAGAACATTATCTTATGCTCAGTGAGTCAGTTGCTTTCTGTTTCTTGCCATTCATAATGCTGTATATAAGCCACACCATGTAAAGTCCTCAGAATTATACACTCTCTGCTGTTTGTAACTCTGTCCTTGAGTTGGAATTGTAAGCATCCCTGGCCATTGTGAAGCATTAAAAGGTGGGTGCTTTCCTGAATTCAGGGCTCTCTTGTACTAAACTCCCCCTAATTCTTCCAATACAGCTGTTAGGTAGGGCCAGGAGGAGGTGAGCCCATCCTGAACGATAGCTACCTCCAAGCCAGTACTACATGTATCTTCCAAGAGAACCCAAAAAAGTCCCCATGGTAGCATGGACAGCAAATAAAGCTACTATTGGCTTTTAGACTGAGCCTCTCCAGAGCCATGGTACCCTGCTGAGACCTCCTGGAAAAGAAGTGAGAGACAGTTCTTGGCCTCCCTCACTGGAAGTGGGAGATCAGAGGAGTGACAGAGAGGCCTCTACTCTCCTGACTGGATGACCTGCTAGTAGCACAATGACCTCCTGCATTGGTGTGAAGTCTCAGTTATGACCTTTCTACCCCACCAGAAGATACTGTGTTAATCAACAGTCCTCCTCCTACCTGGTGCTGAACAATCCTTGGTGGCTCTGGGGGTAGAGGCAGAGGTGGGGAGGCATCAGGGAAGACATCCATGGGAGGCACGTCTGGATGCAGAGCTGGCACCAGAGCTCTTCCATGTACCTCCCTCCAGGCATGATCTGGGGCATGCTCGTCCATTAGCTTCTGTTCCTAAGAGACAGAACCTGCTGGCTGTGGAGCCATCAGCACAGGGGCCCTGAGTGGATAGGCCCTCACCAGCATGATTTTCCCATATCTTGCTCCTGCCAGGGTACATGACACCCAAAGCTCAGTATGGAGTCCCTGGAATGAGAGCCAGGCCTGGAAAGCAAAGCCAAAGGCCCTCCTGTGATGCACACTCAGAAATTCTGCTTCTTTCAAAATATACCAAATAATTTAAATGAGTTTCTGGTGGTTATTGTTACTGTTTCTCAGTCAACAGTCTAATGGCTCTTGACACGTTTCAGTATCTACCTCATTGTAGAAATCTCTTCTCCAGATGAAGTGCCAACCTCCTACCCCAGGGAAACGTAGGGGTGACCCCCACACAGACGTTCCTAGGCAAGGCTACTTCTTGCTGCTGGTCAGTTTAGTTTGGATGAAGCCCCCTGGAGTCCATCCTAGAGCTCCAGTTCCTGTGGGTGTGGGCTTTTATTCATCTCCTGCTCTGACAGGGGTGATCTAAACAATTTCTAAGCTCACACACTGCATGTACTTGATACTTTTCCTTCTCCTATTTCCTCAGGGCAGTGATAGGGATACTCTTAGCTTCTCACAGTTCAGCTATTCATCTACAATTTGTGAACTTTAGAGAACTGTTAGAGAACTGGTCCCAGGAGTATAGAAGAGCCTTTTGATGGGGTGTGCTGGCCGGTGTTTTAGCAGTGGGGAGCTAGGTCCAGGCTTAGCTGAGGATGTAGGCCTACCCAGAGTCTCTGTAAAAGGTCCTTTCTTCTCCTCAGAGCACTCTGCAGGGCAGTGTCTGGCCTGTTCTTCTGTCCTAGAGGGAGAAGGCATATACTTGTCACTGAGGAATATTTTGTGTCTGGTGGCCCTGGCAGAGTACCCCAATTTTCCTGTACCCGGAGCCCAGAGTGACCTGATGCCTCCTGAGCTCAGGCTTCTCATAAACACCCATCCTAAAGAAGGAGGGACTGGGGCTGGGGCTGGGAGGGGATGAGCCATAGTGGAGAGGGGAAGACTGGGTCAGAATCAGTCTTCATCCTGAAAAGGGTCTGGCAGTCAGTGGAGCAGGTCTGTCTTGGGGACTTGGTGCTATAGCGCCCTGTACTCAGGAGGCAGGAGGCCTCCACAGGGCCTCCCATACCCCCATAGCCCTAGCTCCAAGATGTCTGGAGAAGAAAGGCATGTGGGGGAAGGGGTCTTACTGCAGAGAAGGATCTGGAAGGTCTGCCTGCCTTGGTATTCCTGAGCTGCGCTTTGGTGATGTCTGAACAGCCTTTTCTGCAGGCTTTCCCTGGTACAACTTCGGTGGCACATTTGCATCCATTGGGTTGTCCTCTCACAAGTCCCCTAGGTCATGTGCCTCATTTGACATTTTTCGTCTAGATTTGGGGCATTCAGACCTGGCCAGCTGCCCTCAGAGTTCCCAGAGTTACCGCCAGCCATGAATGTTCTATGTTCCCAAGAATAAGACATGCTCTTCTGGCCTTCATACCTCACTGAGCTGTCCATGAACCTAGATTCTGTCCTCAGGTACTGAGGAGGACAAGACTGAGCCCTACCCACTCCTGGAATTAGAGCAATGTGAGTCTAAACTGATTGGGAGCACTTCTGAACTGAGCAACCTAGGGTAGGTCACCTGACCTCTCCGTGCCTCCATTTTCTCATCTGCAAGATCTATCCCTTCTAGGAGTCTGCAGACTAAGACAGCAGGTATGTGTGTATGTTTGTGTGTGTGTGTGTGTGTGTGTGTGTGTGTGTGTGTGTGTGTGTGTGGTTGCTTTACAGGTGAAAATAAAAGCCAAGGCCTACTTTGCCTGCCATTCTTGCCGACTCTGCCTATGTGGGCCCACACAGTTTAGGGCTCTTACCTGGCATGTCCATGCTCTCTCGCTCCTGCTCCAGCTTCTACAAGGAAGAGACTGTCACAGTGACTTGGCTCCACGTTGGTGAGTGAAGTCTGTGCTGCCCACCTGTCTGCCCAGCTGCCATCCCACAAGCTCTAGGAGTGGCCAGCACCCCAAAAAGTGTAGAGAGCAAGAAGTGCATGTGAAGTGGGTAGATGGGGCAAGGATTGCCATATTCTCTTAGGGACTGAGCTGGTCATGCCCTCAACATAATGCATGTGTTACATCTTAAACCCAAAGGGGGTACCCTGATGGGACCCTAAGGTAGACACTCTGATGGAACCCAAGGGGGATGATCTGATGGGACTGAAGGAGGATGTCCTGATGTACCTCAAGGGGCACCCTAATGGGCCCCAATGGGGATGTTTTGATGTACTCCAAGGGAAGTCCTAATAGTAACCAAGGGAGACAGTCTGATGAGTACCATAAGTGCTCTAATGGAACCTAAAGGGGATGTCCTCATGATGGGCCCCAAGTGAGACGATCTAATGTACCTCAAGGGTTACCCTGAAGGAATACAAGAGGGACGGTCTGATGGACATGAAGGGACCCAAGGGGGCACCTTGAGGGTCCCCAAAGGGGACAGTCTGATGTACCCCAAGCAGTCCCCTTTTGGGACTCGAGAGAGCACCCTGATGGAACTCAATGGGGGATGTCTTGATGGGTCCTAAAGGTCACCCTGAAGGGCCCCAAGGAGTATGTGCTCTGATGGGATTCTCCAGGCAGATTTCTGAACAGCAATCCTTGGAGAGACAGTTCTCAGGTCCACCTGGGCCCTGAACGGGGGAGAGGGGGTACAGGGTTTATGAAAGACAGGAAGAAGAGGAACAATGCAGGCAGGGTATATTCAGAGAAGCTGGGTAGCATGGGTAGCATGGGTCCCTGTGGACCCTATGCCCAGTGGCTTGTGAGGGTAGGCATGCCGGGTTTCAGATCACTCAGACCTTCATGAATGACTGAAAAGTTGGAGAAGACTGGGCATGACTAGGTTCTGCCCTGGGGGTGCTGAACTCTGTCTCTACAATAGGGAGTGTCCTTTAAACACTGGAGCCTGAAAGTATAGGAACTTCAGAAGGATGTACCTTAGAAGTGCTCGGCTGGTGGTTATTGTCTGCCTCCCGACTTGGAAACTGCTAGAACATAATTGGTTCTACACAGCACGAAGAAACCAAGAAACCATCATTATTCATTATGAGGCTAGACCCAGGAAAAAGGATTGACTCGAGAAGCAGGAACCACTCCTGGCAGTTTGCAGGAGCAGGAGAGGTGAGTGGAGCAACGGGAGCTGACAGCAGCAGTAGATAGACTCTGGCTCACCTGTTCCAGGAGTCTCAGTGTCAGTTGGGTCATCTGATCTGCTACTGACGAGTCTAGCATTGTGGCAACTGTGTAAGATGCCTACAAAGAGGTAGGAGGCTGAGGCCCACTCTGCCTTGGCCCTTAGTTACCTGTAGCAAAGAGCCCCTAAGTGGTCATAGTGCCTCAAGACAAGAGTAGGAGATTGGCTGCAGTGCCAGAGCTCGAGGTGGAGTCTGTGACAGTTACCAGGCTGAGAGGAAGGGAGGCCCTGGGTTGCTAGGATTCCCCTGAGAGTCCTTCCTGGGTTTTGTGTCATCAAATGGGTTACCTATAAACACTGATCCATAGGTGTGGCTAGGCAGGGCTCAGTGGGGAGTCAAAAGGCCAGAGGAACAGATCTCAGATTCCTCCAGGCACCACCTGCCTAGGGGCGGGGCCTAGAAGAATGACTGGAAGACTACTCATCTGTCCATCAGCCACTGCCTCCAGAGTACCCTTGTCCTATCTCAGAACCCTCAAAGTAAAAAGGAAGTTTGGTTGGACACACAGGAGGTTATTGGGAAGGGTATTTTCTGAGGGTTTCAGGAATTTTGGGGGATGCTGAGAAGGGTAGAATGTGGCCCCTAAGGGGACACTTGGGCCAGAGAGAGGATGCAGACAAGGAAAGGTCATGTATGGAGGTGAAGACTCTAAACCAGATGGGAAGTGAGCCGATTCCTCCCTTGAGGAAGGGAATGGATCATTAGCCATGAAATTGGGCCATGGTGGGGGCTGATCAAACCCTATGAACCTAAGAGCCATCAAGGTAGGGCCAGCACCCCTGCAACAATGGAACTTCCATCAGATCCCTAACATTGCCCCCAGGTCCCTGATATTGTTCACATATTTTAACATTTATGGTTTCATACCTAAGCATGGTCATTTCTGACCTGTATGGATCCCATGGACCTCAGATGTGAGAGAAGTTAGGGTAAAGTTGCCTGTCTGTCTATCTGAGTGGAGTCCCAAGAGACCACTCCTGTTGGGTTTATGGGCACAAACGCTTACTTCCAGTCCTGAGGGCCAGGCTTATCCTAATACAGCTATCTAGCACACCTTTCCTACAGAAAAGCTGAGCTTGCCTGCCTTGCACCCCCAGAGGGTGTTCTGGAGTCCTCACTGACACCACTGGCACTAGCAGTCTGGCCTATAGTTACAATGTCAATATATCTCCACAGCCTTCCTAATATGACAGTCTGAGTGTGGGCCAGCTAATTAGCCTATACAACTTAAGGTAGCTAGGAAATAATCCCCAGGGATGAATGGGACCCCTTCCAGTGGACACGAGCTTCTTAGACAGCTTTAAATTTATTATTTATTTTAGATGGAGTCTCACTATGCTGTCTAGGCTGATCTTGAATTCCTGAAGGCAAGTGATTCTATGAGCGTGCACCACTGAACCTAGCCACAGGTTTTTAAAAATAGTAGCCCGGTATGGTGGGGCACACCTTTAGTCCAAGCCCTCAGGGGGCTGAGGCAGCAGATCTCTGTGAGTTCAAGGCCCAGCTGGAGCTACAGGGAGACCCTGTCTCAAAAAAAGACACACACACAAAAAGATAGCTTTAGGACTAGAGAGATGGCTCAGCAGTTAAGAGCATTGGTTGCTCTTGTCGAAGATCGGGGTTTTAATACCAGCACCCACATGGCAGCTAACAACCATCCATAACTCCAGTTCCAGGGGATCCAAAGCCCTCTTCTGTCCTCCGTAGGCATTGCACAACACTGGTGTACTTACATGCAGGCACAACATTCATACACATAAAATAAAAAGATAAGTAAAAAAATTTTTTAAAGTCTTTACTGAAGAAAAATTGAGAGTATGGAAGTTTCCATAACTCAACACACAGCTTCTCCTGTAATTAACATCTTTTTTTTTTTTTTTTTTTTTTTTTTTTGAGACAGGGTATTCCTGTAGCCCCAGCTGGTCTGGAACTCACTACATAGACCAAGTTGGTCTCAGTGTCACAGAGATCCTTTTACCTCTGCCTCCTGAGTGCTGGGATTAAAGGCATGCATCACCACACCCAGATCCAATTTTTTGGCTTTTTTTTTTTAAAGGGGGGGTGGTTCTCAATATGTAGCCCTGGCTGGCCTAGAACTCTCTATGTAGACCAGGCTGGCCTCCGCTTGCCCCTGCCTGCCTCTCTCTGGGATTAAGGTATGTGCCACCATGCCTGGCTTAATGAATATTTTATAGCACATTTAATGAACCAGTGTTGAGGCATAAATAACTAAAGTCCATGCTTAATGCTACCCCACATGCCTTAGTCTGCACATCTCCTCAGGTGCTTCTTGGCTTGACAGATCTCAGACATTCCTTGTTTTTTAATGACCTTGACAGCTTTGAGGAAGGAGTACTAGACAGAAATTTTGTAGAGCGTCCCCAGTTGGGCCTTCTATGAGGCTTTCTCCTGGTTAGACTGGGCTTGCCAGTAGTTAGTTCCCGTCTTATCACATTGTGCTGCAGGCACAGCTTACCAACACAACTTATCCCTGTGACTCTGGCCCTGGCTACCTTGCCTAGAGGTGTTTAACTGGTTTCTCTACTGCAAAGTGCCTTTCCCCTCTTCTTTGCTGTCCTCTTTGGGAAGAAGTTGCTAGGAACAGCAAATGTTTATGGGGTAGAGAGCCATATTGCTTGTCTGTGAGAGTATCTGTATAATTTACTTTGATAGTGTTTAATACTAAAAACAAATTGAAATAAGATTCAAGTGCTACATTTGCAGAGCCTCTCTGGAGTTTCCATGGGAGTGACTGTACATTCTGAGAATCTCAGCTCAAGTGAACTGGTCACATGCCCCTCTACTGCCAGTTAAAAATGTATTGAAATATGTAAAATCTGAGAGTCAGGTCATATCCGAGTCTCTAGTTCTTAAAAATTCTGGTCTTACCATCTTTCTGGCCCCTCATTTAATGAGCCCATTCCCTCATTTGCACAAACCACCCAATTCTGAGTCTGGGAATCAGGGGTTCTACTTACCAAAGAGGGCTGTGATCTGGCCTAGGACTACTTCCTGGTGGCTTTCTTTCCAAGACTTCCTGAAGTTTTGTTTATGTTATAATCACTTGGGCCCATGGATTCCATTGAGGCTGCTGGACAAACAGGTGGGTAAAGTGTTACTCCTGTGATTTAGAGAAGGCATTGTTACTGCTTTTAGTTTGATTGGAGGAAGCAAACCCAGCATGCAACCCTCCAGAATCTCTTACAGGTTTCAGAGACAAAAAGGGAAGGCCCCATGCTACAGTTAGTGAGCAGCCCGTCCACCGTACGGGCCTCTGATCAGGTAGCCTCTGATTCCTGAGGTTCCAGGGGGAAGGAGGAAAGATTTGCTCTTTTCTGACTGCAGGGTTACAGCAAAAGCTTATAAATCCTCTAATCCATTTACCTGGGGATCTTGCTGAACTCTTCTGAGGAAGTGAGAATTAAAGAATCAAAGACAGTCACAGTTGAGTGCCTGACATTTCTTTTACAGCAGCATTGAGGGCAGAGAAAGAGGCCTAAGGGCCAGTGAAATGACTCATTGGGTAAAAAGGTGCTTGCTACCAAGCCTGGCAACCTGCATTCAATCTCTGGAACCCATAGTTGAAGGAGAGAACTGACTCTCTCAAACTGTCCTTTGACTATCACACATGCTTCCATGGCACATGTGTACACACATGCACACACACACACATACATACACACACTTACACTAAAAATAATGTGTAAAAAAAGATGTTAAGGGGCTGGAGAGACGGCTCAGCAGTTAAGAGCACTGACTGCTCTTGCAGAGGACCTGGGTTTGATTCCCAGCACCCACATGGCGGCTGCGAACCGTCCTTAACTCCAGTTCCAGGGGAATCCGAAGCCCTCTTCTGACCTCCATGGCTTGGCATGACACGGGTGCACTCACATACATGCAGGCAAACACTCATACACATAAAATAAAATGCCTGCATGTAAGTAAGTGCACCCGTGTCATGCAATGTCCACAGAGGACAGAAGAGGCCTTTGGATCCCCTGGAACTGGAGTTACGGACAGTTGTTAGCTGCCATGTGGGTGCTGGGATTTGAACCCGGGTCTTCTGCAAGAACAACCAGTGTTCTTAACCGCTGAGCCATCTCTCCAGCCCCAAAAATAATAAAAAAAATTTTTTGGTCTTTTTGAGACAGGGTCTCCCTGTAGAGGCTGAAACATAACATTTATTTTAATAGCAAATGGGATACTGATAACAAGAAGAGCCAAACAGAGACAAAGAGCATGGTGTGAGCAAACTATGCCAATAGAAAAAACGAAAACGTTTATGTCTTTCCACAGTGGTGGGACTGAGTGAGGAACAATAAATCCATAGGCAACATCATTTTCTGTGGCTTTAATTCACCAAGTACTCTGATTTCACGTAGTACTTATGACCATTGGCAATCACAGGCTCTTTTTTTTCTTTCTTTTAACTTAATATTATTTATTTATTAATTATTTGGTCTTTTTGAGACTTTTTGGTCTTCCTGTAGCCCCAGCTGGCCTGGAACTTCCTATGTAGACCAGGCTGACCTTGAACTCACAGAGATCTGCCTGCCTCTGCCTCCCGAATGCTAGGGTTAAAGGTGTGGGCCACCATACCCAGCTGATTTTTAAAAAAATTTTATTTAGTATTTTTATGTGCATGAGTGTATTGCCTACATGTAGTAGGTGCACCTGTGTCATGCAATGCCTGCAGAGGTCAAAAAGGGTGTCAGATCCCTGGAACTGGAGTTAGAGATGGTTGTTAGCTGCCATGTGGGTGCTGGGAATTGAACCTGGGTCCTGTAACAGCAGCTAGTGGTCTTAACCACTGAGCCATCTCTCCAGCCCCTTTAAAATTAAAAAAAAATTTTTTTATCATTTTTATTTTATGTGTATGAGCATATTGCCTGCATGTATGTAAAGCACTTGTGTCGTACAATGCCCATAGAGGTCAGAAGAGGGCGTTGAATCCTCTGGAACTGGAGTTACAGACAGTTGTTAGTTGCCGTGTAGGTGCTGGTAATTGAACCCCAGTCTTCTGCAAGAGCAACCGTGCTCTTAATGGCTGAACCATCTCTCCAGCCCCTCTCTTTTAAATTATTGAGCAGGCCATCCTGAAACTCTTTATGTAGCCATGGCCAGCCTCTAACCAATGGTGTCTTCCTGCTGCCTCAGCCTCCTACTGGGATTACAGATATAAACCACCATAGCTGGATTTCAAAGGCTCTTTTGTTCCCATTTTAATTACTACTCTCAGCTCATACATTATACTCCAGATATCCATCTATCTATCTATCTATCTATCTATCTATCTATCTATCTATCTTCTATCTATCTAATGAAGTGGCCCATGTGTCACTGGCAGGAGAAACTACTTAAGTTAGAGCCTGAGATAGAGACAGAGATCCTTCCCTGTTGCAGTTTTCCTGGATGCGGCTTATCATGAATGGACTTGAGAGAAACAATGATCCTTACTTCATGATAAAAATACTGGACACTCAGAGTAGCAAAAATGAGACATTTATTTTCAGTTCTGCAGAAGCTGGGTGTCAGCCTAGAAAAGAGACAAAAATGGTTAGTACACTAATTTCACACAAAACAGTAGTTTTTATGTCCCTAATTGCATTTCTCTGCCCCCTTTAGTGTCTCATAGGCTAAGTTCTTTAGGGAGGTTCACTCTTCCCAGTGTCTGGTACTAACCCTTCCCCTAAACCCCCGATTTATTTGCTCACAACACAAGTCTTATCTAATGTATATACTGGGGCTTGAGAGTCCCCTCCTTTTCTGATACTTGGACTCAGGTACTTAGGTGACTTCCTCTAACTTTTCAACCCTAAGATGAAGTGAGAGCACCTAAGACAAGCAGGTCCTGCTGCCAGTTGGGAAACTAGTGCCTCCTGCTTATCTGTGATTCTATGATGAGCTCTAAACACATCTCATATTAAAAATGGATCATAATAATTTATTTCTTACAAACTAGTGACAGGTCAGTGTGTTTCACATGTCTGTCTTGGAGTGCTCCCTCTTTTATGGCCCAGGGGAGGGGGTTTCTTCTGGTGTGACTGGTAAGCTCATGTGTCTGATGTTTCTGACATCATTTGACATATTTTCAGGTGTTATTTTTTATTATCACAAATAAATTACTTACCAGTGCCTTCTGGGGGAATGGTACATGGTGGTAATTTGTAGAACAAAATGCAGAGTTATTCTTTCTTGGCACTTGTGCTAAGGTCAACACTGCTTTTTTATAAAATGTAGTAACCCAGGGGTGGGCATAACCTGAAACTATTCCATGTAACACAGACTAGCTCAGAACAGGCCCAGACTCTCACAATGCTCCCTGCTTGCTACCTGAGAGCTTCCTTCTGGTGCACACCTGGCAGGAGGGGCACAGTGGGAAGGCTTTGAGTGACTGTTAATCTGCAGAGCTTATCTGCTTTCAATGAGCCTGAGTACACTAAAGCATTTGACTGTTAATCAAAACTGTGGGCTATGAGTAAAAACCTTACATTGGGGCAGGTGAGATGGCTTTTCAGGTAAAAGGCTGCAGATCCTGGCAACCTGAGTTTGATCCATGGGATCCACAAGGTAGATGGAGAGAAATGACTCCCGTAAGTTATCGTTTTGTTTCTCCATTGCTGTGAAAAAACACTCTGACCACTGTCAATTTAGGGAGGAAAGGGTTTATTTGTCTTATATCTCCCTGGTCACAGTTCATCAGGGAGCCCAAGGTAGGAACTCAGGACAAGAACCTGGAGCCAGGAGCTGGTGTGCAGGCCATGGAGGATCACTACTTACTGACTTGCTCCCCTGGCTCCTGCTTAACCTGCTTTCTTATGCATCACAGGACCACCTTCCCAGGGATGGCACCACCCACAGTGGACTGGGCTCTCCCATATCACTCATCAAGAAGATGCCCCACAGACATGGCCACAGGCTAGTCCAATAGAGGAAATTCCCCAGTTGAGGCTCCCTCAACCTAGATGTGTCAAATTGACATCAAAGCTATCCAGCACAATTGACCCCTTGTCAAGTTGACACACAAACACATCACTGTTAAACTATAACCTTTCCAATTCTTGTCCCCAAGATTTGATGTTAACATTACTATCACAACATAAGACAGTACAACCTTAAAAGCCCCACAGTCCTTGAAAAATCCAAACACTTAAAAGTCCATAGTCTCTTTTAAAAGTCTTAAGCGTGGGCTTCTGTAAAATCCAAAACAAGTACTGTCTTATTTCAAAGGGAAGAGTCAGGCACACCTAAGCAAAACCAAGGACCAGCTAAGTAGCTCAAGGCTGAACACCTGGGATTCACTCACGATCTTCTGGGCTCCAAAGGGTTCTGGCAGCTCCACTTCTCTGACTCTGCCGTCCATAGCACACACAGCTCATCTCACAGACCCAGGCCAGCTCCACTCCACACCTACTGCTGTCCTTGGTGGTTATCCCATGGTCCTGGCTTTTGAGGTAAAAGGCTGCAGATCCTGACAACCTGAGTCTGATCCGTGGGACCCACACGGTAGATGGAGAGAAATGACTCCTGCAAGTTATTGTTTTTGACCTCTATTTGAGTGCTCACACACACACACACACACAATGAGAAACCCCTAAACCCTTCATTATTCCCACATCCAGGCACATAGGTTCTAGTGACATCTAATACTAACAATGGTTTCATACAGTCCAGATCCTCATACAGACTATGAATTTATAGCTAGAGTGTATTTATCATTTCTTTTTTGAGACAAGGTCTCCCTATGGAACCCAGGCTGTTCTTGAATTCGCAAAACTATTGCCTCTGCCTCCTGAGTACTGAAATTATAGCCATGCACTGCTATTTTATTTATTAATTTTTTAGACAGGGTCTCACTATGTAGCCCTAGTTGGCCTAGAGAAGAGGCAAAATGGTCATCACATTGATTTGGCACAAAACAGTGCTTTTTTTTTTTTTTTTTTTTTTTTTTTTTTTTTTAAAAAAAAAAAAAAAAAACCTATAGCTCCAGCTGTCCTGGAAGTCACTATGTAGACAGACCAGGCTGGCTTTGAACTCACAGAGATCCGCCTGCCTCTGCCTCCTGAGTGCTGGGATTAAAGGTGTGCGCCACCAAGCCCGGCAAAACAATGCTTTTTACTTTTATGTTACTAGTGTTTTTCTGCATATATGGTATGTGCATCATGTATGTACAATGCCTCCAGAGGTCAGAAGAGAGTGTTGGATCACCTAGAACTGGACTTACAAGTGGCTATGGGCCACTATGAAGGTGCCAAGAACTGAACCCAGGCCCTCTGTAAGAGCAGCAAGTGCTCTTAACTGTTAAGTCATTTCTCTAGCCTCCAGTAGTGTTTTTTAAAAATTATTTATTTTTATCTTGTGTGAGTGTTTGGCCTACACGCAAATGCACCATATGCATGCAAGACCTGTGGAGGTGAGAAAGGGTATTAGATCCCCTGGAACTGGAGTTTTGGACAGTTGTCATGTGGATGCTGGGAACCGAACCGAGGACCTCTGTAAGAAGAGCCAGTGCTCTTAACCCCTGAACCAAACCATCTCTCTAGCCCTGTTTTTTGTTTTTTTTTGTTTTTTTTTTTTAAATCCCTGTTGTGTGACTATTGACTATTCCTGGGGATATGTGAACAAATGTCTACTCACTCCAGAGGGAGAATCAACAACAGATCAAAGTAAGGATATCACCAAAGTCTAACTTGGTGAACCAGTGAATTTTATTGGAGTTACTTACACAAGTATGGGTGAAGGGTTACTTACAGGAGCATAAATGACTTGAAGACAGTTTTATCTCTAAAAGCCTATCCTAGCATGGATGATGGCTTATGAAAGCTGGAAGCCTGGAGCTCCCTGCACTACTTACAGGCAGCAAAACAAGTTGGAGGGTATCTTCCAGGCATCTTGGCTGGTCTCTGCCTCTTCTACGCAGCTCAGCTTGGCTGAGAGTCTCGCTCAGCAGTCTTTATTGCTTATATAGGCTTGAGGAAAGGGGGACCAAGTGAATTTGGTCAGTTTCAGGGACTTCTTGAAACGTTTGAGTGGTTTATTTCTGAGTTTAAGGTGCTTCCCTCCTCCTAGATGGGCTGTTTTATCTGGGAGGAAACTGCTACACAATAGAATTTCCCTGCCTCTGAATTCCTCATTGGGGTGAGTTCTTTAGGGAGATACAATCTTGGTACTGCCCCCTCCCCAGATTCCCCATATTTATTGGTTTAGGATGCAAAGCCTTATCTAATGTATATCCCAGGGCTCAAGATTGCCTCCTTTTGTGATACATTGCTTAGTCATGGTGGCTGGGTCAGATAGCAAGGTCTGTAACTTTTCAACCTTAAGAGAAACCAAAAAGCACTAAAAAGCAGACATCAGCTGCTGGCTAGGAAAGATAGGGGCTTAGTGCCTCCTGCTTATTAATGATTCATTGACGAGCACTAAACGCACTGTGAGAGTCACTCAGCAATTGTGTTTCTCCTCACCTTCTCCATTTGTCCCTTTGTTTAGGAAATGAATGTTTGCTGAGCCAGATATAATCTATTTCTTGAAAGCTCTACATGCCTGATACCCTAACTTGTCACAATTTCCTAGAACACCCTTTCTTTCCTTGGGCACCGGTTTCCAAACTAGCCAATAGGACAGATTGTGAAGCTGAACCTCAGTCTATGAGAGGCAGCCCCTTGTGTTAAGGATAAGGCCATGCACCCTGCTGAGAAGTGACATTTGCTTGACCACCTTGCGTGGCGGTCTCTTGATTTGCTACCCTGATCTTCTAACAGCACCTCACACTGAAAATGTACCATGATTTATTTTTTAAATCAGAAGGCTGTTTCCTGGCCGAATTGCTAGAGTGGGAGAGCCAGGGTCTTGAACGCAGTGACTGTGGGCAGAATGCATGGGTCCAGAACTGCTCGCTCTCAGTGGCGGCTCTGGGCCTTCCAGGGCCAGTGGTCCTGGTATTAGACTGTCATTCACTGAATAACTCCAGCTGCCCTTGGCCCTTTGGCTCCTTAATCAGCAGGGGAAGGGGTGGTCACAGCAGGACCGAGGAAGCAAAAAGGAGTCCAAGTGATCCTGCAGGCTACTGTTGGACCCACCGAGTAAACAGCACTCAGCCTAGAAGGGCTGGGGGCAGGAGGTCTAGGTCCTAACAGGGCCCAGGGCCCGTGAGGCTTGAGGCTAGAGCGGCTCCCCAAGTCCCTGCCCAGCAGGCCTAGCGGTTCCGTGATGGGCTCATGGTGGAAAAAATACCCACATCTGCTTTTCATGGCCGGCCTGACCGCGCATGCTCCGAGGCTCATTCAACTACTTCGAAGTCGGGTAGACCGCGGGCCCCCAAGCCAGGGTGTCCACCTCTTGCCGCGAGGGGGGGCTCGGCAGCTCCGCCGCCCGGAAACAGTGGCGCGAAGCTTCCCGCGGAGAGCCGACCAACCACCCCCAGGCCTGGGAACACTGCACCCCTATCATTCGTATTGCTGAAGGAGGTGGATGCGTCACTACCAATTGGATGCCGGAGCCAGAGAGCACCACCCTGGCAGCGTCGCCAGAATGCGCATGCGCAAGTGGACACGCGGTCCTGATTGGTGGCCCTCCGTGCTGACAGTTGGGGGCGGGGACGGCGAGTGGGTGAAGGGAGGGAGTGTAAATAGAGTGAAGGCGACTCTGCGTCGGTCCCGCCGCCTCCGGAGTGACTGACGAGGAGCCCGGCAAGGAGATGGATAAAGACGAGCAAGAGCAGCGGCGCAGGAAGGTGGAGGCTGGGCGAGCCAAGGTAAACGGCAGCGTCCTCCTCTCCGCTTTGCTGTGGAGAGGGGTCCTAAGGAGGCTCAGGTGCCCTTCCCACTGCCTGGCATGAGCGGTTGCGGCCGAGTGGTTCCTGCCGCCGAAAGGTTGCCCTTCCCGTCGCTTCCGGAGAAGCCGCCTCCTGGCCGCCGCCATCTTGAATAGGCCGCCCTCTGTCTTGGCCCGCCCCCATCTTAGCCACAGCCAATCAGCGTCTGAAGCCGCGGTGCCTGGCGGGCAGACCGGGCTAGGGGCATTCCGGGGCGGTGCGAGGCTTCCCGGGTTGGGTTTTGAGGGCCTGGTGGGCTGGGTTTTAGGAGGACGGTGGGCGGGTCCTGGTCGCCTAACTGCTCCTGGCTTGTCCCCAGGTCCTCCCCTCTCAGAACGGTCCAAACCTTGTCTGAGCTCCCAGTCTTTAAAACTGCCTTCAGACTTTAGGTTTTCCAGAAACTTGGAACTTCGGTGCTCCCGAATTGTCCCAGCATTCTGTATGGTTGGTTGTGCGCACTGTGGCCCCGTGCTGCGTGGGCTGCAGTGCCTCCGGTGCCTTCGAGGGGTGTTCTCACCCCCTTCTGCTCCAGGTTTCGATTTTGTTTGATATCTTACCCTGGAGCCGTTTGTGGTGGTTAAAACTGGTGCTGAAAGATGACTGGGACTCTGAAGCAGCGAAGGCGAGAGTACTTCCGAAGTGGATCCCTGGCCACCAGCCCTGGCTCTGGGACCCGAGTTTCCCCACTCTGCACTGTCAGCCTAAGACTAGATAGAACTACGAAACTCTTGTATTGATTTCATGGATCGTCTTGAGGGAACCATCCTTTGTAAATTAAAAAAAATTGATAACAGGATCTCCCTGTAACCCCAGCTGGCTTGGAACTCGCTAAGTAGACAAGACCAGGCTAGCTTCGATCTTACAAAGATCCGCCTGCCTCTGCCCTCCATCACTGGGATCAAAGGCGTTCACCATCATGCCTGGCTGGCCATCCTATACTTGAATCAATACCATAGACTGTACCGCATAAAAACATCCGGATACCCCACTCGGTATGCCAGATAAATGTAGAGGCTGAGAAATGAGGGAGTCCAGAGTTTAACTCTTCTACTTGAGGAAATGGTCTCTCACCTTGTGTGGCCCGTGAACATCAATAGATGGACCTGAGGGGGAGATGGAGGGCAGTGAGAACCAAGAGGCCACCTGTTGAGTGACCATGATCAGAGACCAGGTCAGTGCTGCAGAATGGAGTTATGTAACAGGCGCATTTAATGGAGGAAAGCAATCAAGAAAAATGGAGTTGATTCTGAAGGCAGTGTCCGCCCTTCAGATTTCTTTTTACATAAATAAATGGCCTTTTGTATTTTCTGTCCGCCAATGAAATTATGTGTTTCTGTTTTCATTTACAGAAGTGCATATGCTTGTATGGCATTGGTTGCAATTTGAAGGAATAGATGTTCTCCTTTGAAAAACTGGTGCTCCAGCTCTTTCTGAATAAGGTGTTGGTGGGGGATGGTATGTGAGTGCAGTTGAAAACCTCATGTTTGAGGGAATGAAGAAAGCTAGGTTGCGCCTCTGACTGGCAACATTCTGTGATGGTCCCTAGAGTTTTGGTGAGCTGTGTCATGAAAAATAGAACATCTGATTCCATAAAGGAAGATGTTAGATTGACCTGGCTTAATTAATTTTTTGCTATTTCTGTATCTTGTCTCGGAATCTATGGCTAGGAAGTTTTGGCTGGGCGATATATTTCTTCAGTTAGGGAAAAATGGGGACAAGAGGGGAATAATCTAGCTTTTACATTGTTTTAAGTATTGAATATGCCTTGATTAAGCTCTCAGTGTTTTAAATAGATGTTTTTCTGTAAAATGCCAAGATTAGGAAAGCTATTCTTCCAATCAGCCATGTTTTATTTTGTCTGCATCTAATAGTCATTAGTAGACTTGATATGATTTTGAACTTAATGCTAGGGTCATAGATGTCAGTGAAGACAATGTTTTGTGGGAAAGTGGTCTATTGGCCAGGTGTGGCTGAGTGGACCAAACTAGCCTGAACCTCATGCTCCCCACAAGTGTGTTGACTTTATGGTTCTGTTACCTTTTTCTCATTTACCTCTGCCTCTACTATTTCTCCACATTTCTGCGCAGCTTGCTAACTTCCGACAGAGAAAAACAAAAGGTGACGGTCCGCATTCGAAGAAAAAGACGGCGAAGAGGAAGAGTTCGGCTGTCAATGCGCCTGTCCCGGAGGAGAGTCCGGTAGCTACTCACAATAGCAGGCTCCCTGGAGGAGGGATTGTTTGCAAAAGCAAGTCATGCAGCGACGAATTGGAGGGGGCCAGAGGAGCATCTGCAGCTCAGGTAGACTGACACAGCGTTGTGCTAACATGTTGCCTATTTTCTAGTTATTGCTGGATAATTTACCACAAGTGGTCTTTGGTCTGTTTTACCTTTCAAAAGTGGAGAAAGAGGGATTTATTTTAGCTTATAATAGGTGAGTAAACTTTGGTTTTAAGTAAATAATTTAATGACTTTAGAAAATTTTATTTATTATTATGTGTGTGTTTGTATGATGTGTGTGTATGGCACTAAGTGCCATGGTGCCCATGTGGAGGTTAGAGGACAACTAGTTTTCTCCTTCCACCTTAGTGTAGGTTCTGGGGCTTGAACTCAAGTTGCTTGGCTTGTGCAGTAATGCTTTACCCACTGAACCATCTCACTTGCCCCAAATATTTATTATGAGATTTTGAGGAATTTTGGACAATTATTTAAAGACAAATGTCATTTTGGTGTTTTGGTAAGAGAAATTTACAGGTGAGAGGTGTGTGTGTGTGTGTGTGTCCGTCCGTCCATGTATAGCATGGTTCCATGTGAGTTCCATGTATGTGATACTCCTTCACCTAATTTTGAACGCAACAGCTTGTTGTTTCTGCACTTTACTGACTTTCTGTGGTATTCTGTGGGCCTGAACTGGCTGTCAACTGCTATTCTATGCAATCTTTTCCTAGTTTCCCTCAGTGGTGGAGAGACTAGAAGCTGTGTTGAGTAGCCCCTGCTTGCTCTCTTTGGTACGGTTTTGTGTGTCTCCTGTCTAAGCTCTCTAAAAAGAAGCTCATAGTGTTTAATATTTTACTAGTTTTTAAAACCTTCAAATCAGAGAAACTTCAAAAAATTTTTTTAATAGAAAGATTGTATAATTTTCAGCTTTTCATTTTGAAGTAATGTTAGAGTTACAAAAACTTTGTGAAGCCTGGCATGGTAATGCACACCTGTAATCCCAGCACCGGAGGACTGAGTCAGGAGACAAGTTTAAGGCCAGCCTGTACTATGTAATAAAGACCAAAAACAACAAAATTATGCCAGAAGTGGTGCTATACACCTTTAATCTCATCATTTGGAAGGCTGAGGCAGGGTGATCATGGATTCCAGGCCAGCCAGAGGTAGACATAGAGAGTGGCGTATCAGCCTGAGTGAAATAGCAAGAGACCCTGATTAAAAAATTCAACAACAAAAAATTGTGAAGCATTCCTGGATATATACTTTACCTAGCTTCTTGAACCCAAAACAACTTAATCATAGTGTAATTATCAAAATCCTTTTTAGGTAACATTGAAATAATGCTGTGAGCTAACAGATGGATTTATTATAAATTTCTGCCCGCTATCCTTCTAACATCCTTTTCTGTCCAAGACTGTATGTTGCATTCTTGGGTCTCTTCTCATTTAGGAAAGTCTCTCAGTCTTCCTGAGATACTTTTAAAAAGTACCTTTGAAACGTGAGTTTGGATCTATTGGTGCACCCTCGTGATCAATCTCAAGTGGTATTTCTGAAAGAGCGTTGGTAGTGGTGTGTTCCTGCAGTACGTCTCCTGATTGTGGGGATGGTGGGTGCATGCCACCATACTCAGTTGCCTCCAGTTTTTGTTTTTGTGAATGTGATGTTTTAATTTCTCTCTGTTCTTGGTAGGTAGTTGGCACATACAGACTCTAGATTAGAGGTTGGTTTCACATCTGGGTTGCATCCATGTTTGCCTGTCTGTTCCTTGCCATGGCTGCTTGAAGTTTTTCATCTTTGGTGCCATGTGCATATGCTGTTTACTTTCTTATGTTTGAGTGGCTTTTTTTTTTGTAACATTTTCATTATTTTTATTTTATTTTATGAGTGCGTTGCTTGCATGTATGTGGGTGCACCCATGTCGTGCAATTCCGTGGTGGTCAGAAGAGGGCTTCAGATTCCCCTGGAACTGGAGTTAAGGATGGTTTGCAGCCGCCATGTGGGTGCTGGGAATCAAACCCGGGTCCTCTGCAAGAGCAGTCAGTGCTCTTAACTGCTGAGCCATCTCTCTAGCCCCCTTGAGTGGCTTTTTATAATCCCTTTGTTTCTGTCTGGGCTCTGGGTTTTCTAGCATTTGTGGATGAGCCCTTCTCAGCTGTTGCTTCTGGAATGCCTGGACTGTCTTTTCACTTTCTACTACATGCTGGGTAATTTTATCTGGGTTACCTCTCATTTTCTTTTCTTTTCTTTTTTTTTTTTTTCTATTTTGACACAGGGTCTCTCTGTAGCCCCAGCTATCCTGGAACTCACTAGGTAGACCAGGCTGGCCTCGAACTCGAGGAGATTCGCCTGCCTCTGCCTCCCTAGTGCTGGGATTAAAGGCATGTGCCACCACGTCCAGCACCTCTCATTTTCTTAACTATGTTCATGTATGAATAGTCTGATATTAAGTCTGTCCAGTGAAGAATTTTTCTATTCTTTCTTCTTCCCTTCCACTTTCCTTCTCACTCTATTGCCTTCTGTATCAGTCTCTTGAGTTTCAGGATCTACCACTCCACTGGGCATATTTTTTCTTTAGCACCACCATCACCACCACCAACACGCACGCACGCACGCACGCACACGCACACACACAAGTAAATTCTAGGTCTCATATGTTTGTTTTCTTGATGATAGCCATTCTGACAGGGGTGAGGTAGAATCTCAATGTAGTTTTTGATTTGCATTTCCCTAATGGCTAAAGATATTTATCATTTTTTCATATATTTATTGGGTGTTCATACTTGTTATGGGAGACCTGTCTGTTCGATTCATTTGTCCATTTATTGATTAGATTATTTGTTCCTTGTTGTTTAGTTTCCTGAGTTCTTTTTGTACTGTGGATGTTAATCCCCTGTCAGATTATATATAGCTGGCAAAGATTTTCTCCTGTTGTCTTAGTTGTCTCTTTACTCTTTCCTTTGCCACTGGAGTTCATACATTCTGTCATTTGTGTTAAGGCCTATTATGTAAAGTTAGTGTCCCGAGATGTCCCTCAGTACAAGGTCCTCCACTGAGGTTTAGTCAGCTTATCTAGAGTCTCTCCCTTCAAGATCAGCTCTTCCTCACCCAGCAGTAATCAGCTGCTAATAATTCCTTGACTGTGATTGGGACTTGCTGTTCATTTCCACAGTTCTGTACTGGGTTTTTGTCTGCCTAAGTTTGCGTGGGTCTTGTGCATGCTGACACCATTGCGGTAGGTTTGTATGAGAAGGGTCCCAGGCACCTGTAGGACTCTTATTTCCATATGGTCATTCACCTCCTCTCTGGCTCTTAAAATTTTTCCGCCCCCACCCTCTTCCACAATGGTCCCTGAGCCCTGGGTGGGTAGACCTCAATATAGGAATCCTGTTCAAGGACCCACATTCTGCAGACTCTTAATTCTCTGTATTTTGGCCATTTGTGGCCTTTTATGTTCCTGGCCCTCTGTTGATGAGGGAGCTTCATTGATGAGAATTGAAAGATGCATTAGTGTTCTCTTCATCCCTTGTTCTATGTTCTGTGAATCTTAGGTGTAGAGATTGCATCCTAGATGTGCCTATTAGGCTTGGGCACTTCACAGAGAATCTCTGTGTGTGACCAGTGGTAATTCTGTAATAATCTCTGTTGTTGAAAAAAGAAGCTTCTTTGATAGGTGGTGACTGGAATACTTGTCTAAATTTAAGGATGCATATTTTGCACATAGTAAGACCTCTCCAACTATGTGTATTTGGCTAGGTTTACGTTACCAGACAAGTTTCCTCCCATTAAGTGGGCTTTAAGTCCAATTAGGCAGCTGTTGATTATCCCAAAGATAAAAGTGCCACTGCTGTACCAGTGTCATTTGCTGTGCTGGTCACTGATGTGGTTTTTAGGCCTTGAAGCTAAGGTTGGACCATCGATTGATGTTCTCCCTTGCCAGCTTTGGTAGTGCTCTCCAAAACTATGAGAGCTAGCCTTCGGGGGAAGTGACTTTCAGGTCAGTTCCAGCCCCATTGCTCCAAATCCTGTGTCCAAAGTATGTCCTGTCTTCAGCAATAGGGTCTTCTTACCATCAAGTTCTGGGAGGCATTCAAGGACTGTGGCAATAGCCTGTGCAGTTTTGGGAGTCTCTTGGACTACCCTGGCCAACAACTTGAAGGAAGGTTTCTCCTGTCTGGCACTGTTTCTTGTTAAGTAGTCTTCAACTGTGCTCATGGACTCATGTAGGGATATTGTATGTGTAATTTTTCAGTAGGTTTTTGGACTAATATTACTCCCTCTGGTTTTTGTATACTTGCTAGGCACTGTTTAGGTCTCCTCTTTCTCTCCCTGTCTTTCTCTCCCTGTCTCCCTAACCCTCCTCCCCGCCCTTCCCATTTAAAATGTCCCCATTTTCCCCATTTCTCCCTTAATAATTTTTGTATGCTATGGTCCCACCTCTTTTGAGCTCCTTCTTCCCCTTGATTCCCATAGTTCTTTGTGTAGTCTCCTTTTCCCCCGCCACTTTACCCTCTTTTTACACGTCTCCTTTAGTAACACCTGTCTCCTACTATTCTTCTCAGGTTCCTTTTTTCCCGTCACCTCCCTGGTTTCCTTCCATATTCCTGGTTTCTGCAGTTACATCAGGATATGTACTCACTTATAAGGATTTGGTGCTAGGATCCACAGATGAGGGAGAACATACATTGTTTGTTTTTCTGAGTCTATGTTAATTTCACTTAGTATACCAGTTTCTAGTTCTATCCATTTATCTGCAAATTTCTTTTTTTCATTTCTCCATTGTGTAAATGTACACATTTTCGTTAACCACTCATCAGTTGAGGGACACAGGTTGCTTCCATCTCTTAGCTATTGTGAAAAGAGCAGCAACAAATTGGTTGTACAAGTGTCTCTGCAATAGGATGAGTTCTTTGGGTATATGCCAAGGAGTGGTATAACCCAGTCTTATGGGTAGGTTCATTTGTAGTTTTTTAAGAGTTCTCCACACTGCTTTCCATAGGGCCTGAACCAGTTTGCACCCGCACCAGCAGTGGATGAGTGTTCCCCTTTCCCCACATCACCTCCAACATTTAGTATCATTTGTTTTC